AGTAACGACGTAGTTAAAAAACAAATAAATGATAAAACAACTAAATTAAATCACGACGTTTCGGAGGCAACACCAAGCTCCCTTCTTCAGGTGGAAACCGTCACAGCTGTATCAAGCAATTTTACCGTGACGATTTCCACCTGAATTTCTGTATGAAGTTGAGGCAGAAATTTTACCGTGATGGTTTCCACCTGAATTTCTGTATCAAGTTGATGCAGCAATTTTACCGTGACGGTTTCCACCTAAATTTCTGTATCGAGTTGATGCAGCAATGTTGCCGTGACGATTTCCACCTGAATTTCTGTATCGAGTTGATGCAGCAATTTTGCCGTGACCTGTGTCCACCTGAATTTCTGTATCAAGTTGATGCGGCAATGTTGCCGTGACGGTTTCCACCTGAATTTATGTATCGAGTTGATGCAGCAATTTTGCCGTGACGGTTTCCCCATGAAGACGGAAGCTTGGTGTTGCCCCCGAAACGTCGTGATTTAATGTAGTTGTTTTATTTATTTTATTTTACCTACGTCGTGACTTTACCGAAGAAACACAAAGAGTCTATGAGCCCCACGATGTGTGTCGTCAGTCAAAGCACCGTTTGTAATATGATGACAAGGTGAAATATTTAATTGGCGACTTATTTTTGAGGACATCAACACAGAATGTATCATCATTGTTACGCTTAATGAAGGGTTGAAGTCGTGGAATGTTAAAGTGCCTAACCCAGTAATGTTTCCGGGGTTTAATGTCCTCGCGAAGCAATAGTGAATTATGTTTAAGAGATTTGGCCGGGATGAATTGTTCATCGACCAAACGAAATTATTTTTTTTATTATTGTGAAGAGAGACATTTTGCAATTTTGGGGTGCCATCAGAATCTTTATTTAGACTGGAGAAATCTGATGAACTGTGAAGCTCATTTTCACAGATGACCAGTAAAAGGGATGAAATATTTTACATTATGAGACCTCCTTTGCCAGTAACAAGATATAGTAATAGGTTTTACCCTTTTAACTGGCACAAAAAACTGAAACCTTTATTCAAGGCATCTTGTTTGCAATAACCACAACAAACAAAAAGACAACTCTGATATTATTATCAGAGTTGTCTTTTTGTTTGCATTTTGACTGCTTGTGTTGTGGTTATTGCAAACATGATGCCTTGAATAAAGGTGTCAGTTTTTTGTGCCAGTTAAAAGGGTAAAACCTATTACTATATGGATGAAATCTTGTCTTGTTGTGATAGATTACACAGAAATGTGCCGCACTATGGCATCGTACCGTGCAATGTGTTGTGATGGGAGTTGCATGCTGTCAGTTGTGTTCTTGTTAGTCAGGTGGCATCACAATCCAACAGTCATCGAATCAGTGAGCAAGTTGGTCCAGTGAGCATGTACATAGTGTGTATATGTATATATTTGATTGTGAGTGAGTGTATGTGAGTACTTATGTGTATGTGTGTGTGCGTGCATGCATGTGACGAACATGTTTTATATTAACAGCCAGCTGCTGTTTGAACCTTAAAGAATTCACTTGACCGGTTATGGGTAAGTCAAATGTGCTGATGCTAATGAATGGCATTCACATGTATGGAAATGTTGTTTTGTGTTTCTCAGCCTCCGCTCAAAGTTCTGGGCGCTTACCGTTAAAGGATGAAAATGAAGAAGGTAAATATTGTAAAATGCACGGCTTCATTGGAATAGATGGCTCTGTATAAGCAGTATGGAGGCCAGAAGTAATTTTAATCCAATAAACTGTTTCTTTAAATGGTTGTTCATTTAGATATCTTGTGATCAAAATTGTAATCGTGTTCCGACAATTGGCTAATTATTACGCTACTTTGATAAAATATGTAATTTATTAAGAGTTTTTTTAGGGCATGTTAATTCAGATATAAAATTGACTTTCATACTGCAGAATAATGCTTACAAGGTAAAACAACTGCATAACCTTGCAGCAGGGGCACCATTTCCTTTGAAAGTGTGTGGATTAATTGAAGGATCTTTTGAAAGTCCTTTAACCTTCCCGGTCCTCATTTTTCCACGAAAATGTTGACAGGCTGTGGAGCAAACAGCCTGCCAAAATACCAACAAAAAAAAACATTCGAATTAGTGATTTACATATTGTTAATTTACATATGTTCCATGCAATTTCAGACTAACTTTATTCCAGCTGGCAAAGCCAATTGAGCTCAGCGGCTCTTTAACAAGGACAACCAATTGGATTTTTTTAAAATCTTTTATTTGGCTGGCACATATAACTGGCTGTCAAACATCTCTTGTGGAATCTCATAAGATATATCATCTTACACAACTGCTCATACATATGTTGAACACGTACGTATGTTATGTTTTCAACCTGTGTTTGAGCTGTGAATCTTTGTTTAAAGGGCAGTTGTGGTGCTTGTAACGTAACATATTCAACTCGTTTAAAGTGGTAGTGTGAGTGTACGTTATAGATTTCGGAATGAAAGCTCTTGGATACTCCACCAAGTGCTCTATTTTTTATTTCATTGGCTACCTATGTTCTAAACGACACCATTACCTTATTGTTTGGTTGTTGATGATGTTTTGTAAAACTGGAATTTGGATTTCCAATGGACAAACAGGTCAAGCATTGTATGTTTGACATTAACGTGACGTTCTGTTTGAATCCAAACAATATTTAACGTATGTATGTAGAAATTATTTCACACCGTACGTAGCCAGACGTGATTGACATTAACGTGACGTTCTGTTTGAATCCAAACAATATTTAATGTATGTATGTTGCAATTATTTCACACTGTACGTAGCCAGACGTGATTGACATTAACGTGACGTTCTGTTTGAATCCAAACAATATTTAATCTATGTATGTTGAAATTATTTCACACCGTACGTAGCCATACGTGATTGACATTAACGTGACGTTCTGTTTGAATCCAAACAATATTTAATGTATGTATGTTGCAATTATTTCGCACCGTACGTAGCCAGACGTGATAATGTGAGGTGCTAATCAATTGCGCTTTTGATGGAAGCATTATTGATTTAAAATACACGTAAATTCTGAAAGCTTGCACAAATTTAAATTTCAAATGCGCATACAAGTTGATGTTTATTATGTCAAAAAAACTCACAAGCAATTTCTTCTGCCAATGTTGGACTCGTACTTTTGCTTACCGTTCGTGTAAGTTGACTCTTTTCATGCACAATTTGTACATTTCAGCAAGTCTGTTCTCCATAGTTCATTTAGTTCCATAGTTTAATTTATGTGGTATAGCCCTGTGAGCCATCCGGCTCTTGAATCGGGTGCAACCGCAACAAACAAAAACATGAACAAGAAAACATCTTAAAGTGACTTTGTGTGTGACTTTGCAAACAGAAAATCCAGGAAAAAAACATCAAAATATTCCTGAAATAGCACCGTACACCACCAACGCTGTGTGCAAAAATCCCAGTGGGATGCAAGTCAAACAACAACAACAACCACAAGACAACTTAGATTAAGGCCATCAGTCTAACTCCGTACTACAATAAACAAAAACATGGCCAAAACAAAAAAAAACTTTTCGAAATCACCAAAATAAAAGCCATAAATGCAATGTAACGGTGACCAGATGTCATCATTGGCCACGGTGTTTATTCTGGTTGTTGTACAGCACACTTGGCCAAAAGCTCTTTTTGTTGAACAAAAACTTCACACGAAACCCCCAGAGCAGATGCCCTGAGATCACGATGGGAACGCCTTTTATGCCTCCTCATTCATGGAGCCCCACGGCCTCGCAGTATAAATACTGCCTCGCTATAGAAATAGGTTTTACCCTTTTAACGGGCACAAAAAACTGACACCTTTATTCAAGGCATCATGTTTACAATAACCACAACACAAGCAGTCAAAATGCAAACAAAAAGACAACTCTGATAATAATATTGGCACTGTCCTTGAATTTGATTGGTCCACACCTGAGACGGCTTTTCTTAGAGCCTAGTCTCCACTGGTGTTGGACCAGAAGACGCCAAAAGGCGTACAATACCAGTGGAGACTAGGCTCTAAAGAAAGCCGTCTCGGGTGTGGACCAATCAACTTCAAGGACAGTGCCAATATTATTTTCAGAGTTGTCTTTTTTGTTTGCATTTTGACTGCTTGTGTTGTGGTTATTGCAGACACGATGCCTTGAATACAGGTGTCAGTTTTTTGTGCCAGTTAAAAGGGTAAAACCTATTGCTATATCTTGTTCCTGGCAAAGGAGGTCTCATAGTGTAAACGCTGCCCCGCTGTTTGCCTTTATTCGAAGCAACCCGCGCACTGATGACACGTTCACGTCGGAGAAAATCCGTTGGTTTGCAAATTGCTTGCTCGTGGAGATGCCGAACAGCACGGCGAAAGAGTGCCATTCGTCCGCGTTCAAAAATTACTCTACGCTTTGCGTTTTGTGGATTTTAATAAGACATCTTTGTGGTGTTGAAGATGTAAATGAAAAGAACCCGATTTTTTTTTCACCCCCCAAGTGCTCTTACACAGCGTGATAGTTTGCGCGAACTTTAACGATTTTGTCAGAGAAAATGGATTCACGTCACTCGTTGAAAAAAATAAAAAAACATTAAATTTAGATTTAAAGCTTTCGTGACTGCAGTAATTCATATTCTTAGTTCTTTTGGTAAAGTCACGTTGAAGTGAAACAATAAAATAATAAAATATATATAAAACAATAAAAACAATTCTCACGACGTTTCGACCATAACACAAACGGTCGTCATCAGGTGTGTCGGTTTGCATAAATTTATTTATTTTTAAACGGTGTATTTATAAAAACATTTTTTTATTTTTTATATATATATTATTATTTTATTGTTTCCCTTCAACGTGACTTTACCGAAAGAACCAAGAATATAAAAAACATTGCTCAACGTTCTGAAGTACGTCACGGTGTTCATATCCGCAATGTTTAACGGACCTCGTTCATCTACGTCGTTGGACGTTGATTACCGCCGCAGAAACATCTTTGAACGAGGGTGCTGGAATGGGCGGCGATCCCGATGTCACAAGGCAACAGCCCGAAGCGTCGTCGCCCCGTACGCTCGAACAAGGACCCACCGCCAAGTCTGAGACGCAGAAGACTTTCTGCGTCACATCTCAACAAGCTGGGTAAGGCGTCGCAACCCATTCCTCTTCGGGCAGATTTGCTCTTTTTTTACACGCGACACACTCCTTTCATTTTAATTTAGATGCGTTGAAAACGCTGCCACGTCACGCGTCCTGTCACGCTAAAAGAACACGTTCCCCACGTCGGTCTGTGCCGTCTGTTAATGTCGGCGCAGGGCCGTAGCTGATAACGCGGTGCAAGGAGGCCCGTCAGACCTGGCGCAGGCTGACGCCGGTGCCGCAGCAACGGCTGAATTGGACGAGTTAATTGATGAACTTGAAATGGGGCTGACGACGGGTGAGCGCTTTCACACACAAAACGGTTAGTCGCGGAAATAAGAATAACGTAGCACAATACTTAACAATTTCGATTTAAAGCTTTCGTGACTGCAAGGATTCATCTTCTTTGGGTCTTTCGGTAAAGTCACCACGTAGAATGAGAATAAAATAATAAAATGATAAAATAAAATAACACAATAAAATATCTCACGACGTTTCGGCCACAACACAAGTGGCCTTCTTCAGGTGAAAGGAACAGACCTGTTCAGGTGAAAGGAACAAAACAAACCTGTTCCTTTCACCTGAAGAAGGCCACTTGTGTTGTGGCCGAAACGTCGTGAGAATTTTTTGTGTTATTTTATTTTATTATTTTATTCTCATTCTACATGGTGACTTTACCGAAAGAGCCAAAGAAGACTACTTAACGTGTGATAAAATTCAGTGTTGTTTCATAAAGCGTGCAATGAGCGAAAAGCAAATGAGTGATAATATCACCATTAAAAAAAAATACGTGGAATAATTGGGGTGTGGCATTTGTGATTTAAACATTATGTAAAAAATATGCTTTTGTCTTGTTTGCAGATGATGACTCGAGGTCTAAGAGTGGTCCCCGCAACGTGGAAACTGTAAAAATAAATAAAACAGAGGCTGACGTTGATTCTACTGTAGAGCCGGTTAAAAAGCCAGAATCAGCCTTTCCAGATTCAACAGTGATGAAAGCCACTGCGGACAGCAGCTCCGATAAAACTGATAAAGTCGACGTGAACGATGAGACAAATGCCAATGTGGCAACAGATGTCAACAGAGGACCTTCAGAAAAACCTTTGCAGTTTCTCAAAGCTCGCGATGATGTGCAAAGAATGGAAGCAGCCGATGGAAACGAGGCTGGAAACGCGCCGCAGGTTTCTGCCGAGCCACCCGTTACTCAGACAAAGAATGGTAATGAAGCGAAAGTCGACTTCCTTGCCAAGGTTCGGGAATCTGCCTTGGCCCAGCAACTTGACCGTAAATCCAAACCTGCCCTTTGTGGGTCTTTTACTGGGGCCACCGCAGAAGCGTCTGGTTGTGTCGTGGGTGAACAAGACCCCGGACGTAAAAGGTTACCCGTGGCTTTCCCTGACACGTCCACCAAACCCAATAGTGAGTTAAGCAGGGCAGGAAGGCGTGGTGGAGGAAGTCTAAAGTGCCTGGATAAAATGCCCGTTAAAAACGAAACCTGTCTAAATGCGCACGTGGAGAAAATCCCCGTAGTGCATGCCAAATCTGTGGACAAGCAAGTAAAGAGTATACCTGTGGAGCGACAGGATGCATCATCCGAACAGCATACGGAACAACTGGTAACACGCCAACACAAGACGCACGTGGAAGAGTCTGTATTGATCCAGCCAGTGGAAATCCGTCAAGAAATTGCCGGCGCTAGAGAAGAAATAGTTGAGCCAGACAAAGTTTGCAAGGTTATTGCAGAAGCAAGGCTAACTAAAAGTGAAAAAGTATCCGAAATAAATGAAACTTCACAGCCAGTAATGGACCAGTCAAATGAGCCTGGGGCTTCGATGCAAAACAGAATTTTTCACAAGACTCGATCAATTTCAAAAGAGCGACGTGCACCTGAAGTTGAATGTCAAAATCATTCTGCTGAAACATCTCCAGTTTTTCCTGTCTGTAAGCAGCCTTCAGATCGGTGGAGGTCCACAAATGAAATCACCAGAGATTACCTTCCTAAAGTGGGATTGACCACTTACAGAATTGTTCCTTCCAAGCCAGTCATAAGACCAAAACCTGGAACAGCTGATGTCCCATTCCTTCTACCAGCTTATAAAACAGAACCCGGCAAGACTGAAAATGCTACTGCAACCAATGCTACAAAAGAAATCAAAGAAACGTTGAAATACTACTCAACAGCGAAGATCGGTGACATTACAACCAATCCACAACAGCATACAGCACATCAGTCACCGGTGATTCCTCTACCATTAATTCCCCCACCAGTGATTCCTCCACCATTGATTCCCCCACCAGTGATTCCTCCACCATTAATTGCCCCACCAGTGATTCCTCCACCATTAATTCCCCCACCAGTGATTCCTCCACCATTGATTCCCCCACCAGTGATTCCTCCACAATTAAGTCCTCCACCAGTGATTCCTCCACCATTAATTCCCCCACCAGTGATTCCTCCACCAATGATTCCTCATTTATCAGGGCTCTCAATTGTGGCTCGCCCATTCCAGAGGTCCCATTCCCTCCAGTGTACTACGGAGGCAATATCTCAGCAACACTCTGCCACCGAGCCACTTGCCAGCACTGCCACATCTCCACCACCACTACCACCACCACCATCGAGCTCAAAGCAAGATGCATTTTTCCGTCCCGGCAGGAGGGCCTCCAGCATCTACGTGGCATCTGCCATTGCCAAGAGAACAGCCTACAAGGCCATTGATGCTCCGAATGAAACTTACAGTGGCACAACCACAACAAATACAACACCTGTACATGCTTTGCCACCAATTCAGGTAAATTGGGAACAGGATGAGCTCACGATTCCACCACCACCACAGTTTTCTACGGAAGAAAATGCCAACATTCCAAATGCTCCAGGTGACCCGGGGAAGGTGATTATTATAACCGAGGCACCACGAGTCCATCAATGGAAGCCAAAACTATTCAGACCAGTCAGTTTCCCAAGCGTCATGTTCAAAAATGACAAACCATCTAGCGTGAGTGTAGCGTCGAGTCATTCAGAGTCTAAGAACGCCGTTTTTCCTGTCAAGTCACCACCTCCGGTGAGTCCTAAACCAAGTAGTGGAAACCCTTTTAATGTAAAATCAGCCACTAACTCATCTCAAATTCAGTCCGTTCTCAGTTCTCCAAAATCCACCGACGCAAGTCCTTTCCATCAGCCTCCCACAGTTTTAAATACCACTGGAACTGCACTGGAAAGTTTCAGTCTTATTCACGGGCAGAGGAAACCATCAGGTGAAGACAGCGGTCCGTTTGGACCGATGCTGAAGTTAAAACCTGTGGTGCAAACACCAATTGTGAAGGATAACAATGCACATGGTTCCCTAATGGAAGCGCTTCAGTCTACAGACAACGTGGGCACATTGAGAAAGGTCAGCCTGCTTCGTCTACATCGTCACATTTAAAATATTGTAATAAATATGGAAAATGTTGTGTTTAGCCTAAATTAAATGTGATTCGTTTATTTAAAAAAAAGTATTTGTAGAACCTGCATTGTTAACCATGATTGCACATGTATAATTAAAGTTATCTTAAACATTTTGATTTAAAGCTTTCGTGACTGCAGTAATTCATATTCTTAGCTCTTTCGGTAAAGTCACGTTGAAGGGAAACAATAAAATAATAAAATATATATAAAACAATAAAAATTCTCACGACGTTTCGACCATAACACAAACGGTCGTGTTATGGTCGAAACGTCGTGAGAATTTTTATTGTTTTATATATTTTTTTATTATTTTATTGTTTCCCTTCAACGTGACTTTACCGAAAGAGCTAACAATATTATATTAAACATTTACCTTGCTAACGTGAAACGTTGTACAACATTTCCGTAAATGTTCTGGTCGCTGTTCCGTTATATTCTAGGTTTCGGGTGAACATCTGCAGGCAATGCTGGCAGCTGTAGACAGTGAGGCAGAGAGAGATGCTCGCATTTCTGCCGCTGTTCCATCAGGCGCAGGAGGGAAACGACTGAGAAAAGTAAGTGGGAATGCAAGTGACAGCTGTGTATTTAATTTTGATTTAAAGCTTTCGTGACTGCAGGGATTCACATTCGTGGTTCTTTCGGTAAAGTCACCACCACGTAGAAGGGAAACAATGAATAATAACAATAAAATTCTCACGACGTTTCGACTGCAACACAAGCAATCATCATCAGGTGTGGTTTTCACGTCGTGAGAATTTTATTGTTTTGTTTTTTATTATTTTATTGTTTCCCTTCTACGTGACTCGGCCTCAAATGAGTACCCGGTGCGGTGTGTAAACATTAGCACGTGCTAACATCACTTGCTCCAAGAGTCAGTGACAGCTGTACAGGGTGGGGGAGGGTGGGGATATTTGTGTCTCGTGTGTGTGTGTGTCTCGTCTTTGTGTCTTTGATTTCCCATGCAGTGTATAAACAAAGCAAGTGCCATCCGTTCATTTGCTTTGGCCAAAGTGATTTTTTTAATTAAAAGTTTCTGTACGATAGGGATGTATGTGCCCGCGTGGGACACTTACCTTCAAAAATCTCAGATCATAGGAAGCCATTCCGCAATGACTAATGAGAAAGTCGGGGATAATCGAGGATAATAGGAAGAATAGGGCCGTGGATAATGGAACTTTTGTGAACCTGACAGCTGTTGCAAATTACACGAATCACGCATATTAGGGCCTATTTGTCTTGCTCCCATTAATACATTAACAAAAACGTCCTTCAACATAATTTTCTTTGAGCTTGAGGATGTACGTTTGCACGGCATCGAACAATGGCGTGATTTGTCTGAACTTGAAGTGTTGTTACCCCAGGTAGCACAAGTCTTGGTGTCTCGTTGACTGCTGTGTTCTACTGTCTTCTGGTTTCCATAGACCCCATCTGCAGCAGCAGCGGCAGCAGCAGAAGACGAAGAACTGGTGTCTCAGCAGTTGAGAGAAGCCGACTCGGGCGACTCAGCCACAGTGCGGCCACGGCTTGCACCTGTGCATTCTCCTCCAGTCCCCATAGCCCCACCACCTCCTGTCATCCTTGTGGGTAACGGGGCCACAGGTACAGAGCGTAGGCCCGAGGATGCACGTCTGGCCATGCTTGATGCCATCCGATCCGGCAGTTGTGCTGGCATGCCTAAGAAGGTGATTGTAACTGAGCCACCACGAGTTCACCAGTGGAAGCCGAAACCATTCAGACCAGTCAGTTTCCCAAGCGTCTTGTTCAAAGATGACGAGCCATCTAGCGTGAGTGTGGCGTCGAGTCATTCAGAGACTAAGAACGCCGTTTTTCCTGTCAAGTCACCACCTCCGGTGAGTCCTAAACCAAGTAGTGGAAACCCTTTTAATGTAAAATCAGCGTCTAACTCGTCTCAAATTCAGTCCGTTCTCAGTTCTCCAAAATCCGCGGTCGCAAGTCCTTTCCATCAGCCTCCCACAGTTTCAAATACCACTGGAACTGCACCGGGAAGTCCCAGTCTCATTCACGAGCAGAGGAAACCATCAGGTGAAGACAGCTGTCCGTTTGGACCGATGCTGAAGTCAAAACCTGTGGTGCAAAAACCAAAGTTTAATGTGACGGACGTGAAAAAGGAATAGCCTATTCCCACCGCGGGGCTTAGGGCGTGCCAGGCGTCAAATATTTTTCGACGTGAACCCCACCGTTCGAGAGGCAAATCCCTCGCGTATATAAAAGAAGAAAGCTAAGAAAGAATGGAAGATGTTTCTATTTAAAGCTTTCGTGACTGCAAGGATTCATCTTCTTTGGTTCTTTCGGTAAAGTCACCACCACGTAGAATGAGAATAAAATAATAAATTAACAAAATAAAATAAATTCTCACGACGTTTCGGCCACAACACAAGTGGCCTTCTTCAGGTGAAAGGAACAGACCTGTCGGGACGACAGAGCTTCAACGAACGTTGTTAAGATTCGAGGCGTCTTTTAAGCTGGTTTAGAGAAGAGAGGCACCTTGACAAAGGGGTTTACATATCAATGCTAAATTCTCCTGTTTGATATGTAAACCCCTTTGTCAAGGTGCCTCACTTCCCCCAACCAGCTAAAAAGTCGCTTCGAATCTTAACAACGTTCATTGAAGCTCTGTCGTCCCGACGGGTCTGTTCCTTTCACCTGAAGACGGCCGCTTGCGTTGTGGCCGAAACGTCGTGAGAATTTTATCGTGTTATTTTATTATTTATTATTCTCATTCTACGTGGTGGTGACTTTACCGAAAGAACCAAAGAAAATGGAAGATGTGTCCATTACGTTATACTGTACTCATGTGTTCAATAGAAAATGTTGGGAGCGTTTGTCCCTTTTTACATTTTGGAGGTTTAATGATGCGTTTCGTGTTGATATACGAATAAACACTTGATGCAGCCTGTTTCGTTTTATGCCCTGTGTGTCGGTGCATACAGAAACCAGCACGTACGAGCGCTGTGCCGTATACCCATTGCAGAGTATCTGCATTAAGCGACAAAGAGTTGCATGTTCATACTGTTGAACATATACGGTAATGCAGATATTGGGGATGTTTATTTAACTGTGCTTCCGTTTGTAAATGTTAGGTAACCGGCACACAAGAGCGTGTGCAGTTCTACAGGTTTATTGTATTTACCACTGAATTCTACAGTAGTATTGTATTTACCACTGAATTATACAGTTTTATTGCATTTACCACTGAATTCTACAGTAGTATTGCATTTACCACTGAATTCTACAGTATTATTGCATTTACCACTGAATTATACAGTATTATTGCATTTACCACTGAATTATACAGTATTATTGCATTTACCACTGAATTATACAGTATTATTGCATTTACCACTGAATTCTACAGTAGTATTGCATTTACCACTGAATTCTACAGTATTATTGCATTTACCACTGAATTATACAGTATTATTGCATTTACCACTGAATTATACAGTATTATTGCATTTACCACTGAATGATACAGTATTATTGCATTTACCACTGAATTCTACAGTAGTATTGCATTTACCACTGAATTCTACAGTATTATTGCATTTACCACTGAATTATACAGTATTATTGCATTTACCACTGAATTATACAGTATTATTGCATTTACCACTGAATTCTACAGTAGTATTGCATTTACCACTGAATTCTACAGTAGTATTGCATTTACCACTGAATTCTACAGTTTTATTGTATTTACCATTGAATTCTACAGTTGTATTGCATTTACCACTGAATTCTACAGTAGTATTACATTTACCACTGAATTCTAAAGTGGTATTACATTCACCACTGAATTCTACAGTTTTATTGCATTTACCACTGAATTCTACAGTTGTATTGCATTTACCACTGTATTCTACAGTAGTATTGCATTTACCACTGAATTGTACAGTAGTATTGCATTTACCACTGAATTCTACAGTAGTATTGCATTTACCACTGAATTCTACAGTATTATTGTATTTACCACTGAATTCTACAGTAGTATTGCATTTACCACTGAATTCTACAGTAGTATTGCATTTACCACTGAATTCTACAGTATTATTGCATTTACCACTGAAATCTACAATAGTATTGCATTTACCACTGAATTCTACAGTAGTATTGCATTTACCACTGAATTCTACAGTATTGCATTTACCACTGAATTCTACAGTAGTGTTGCATTTACCACTGAATTCTACAGTAGTATTGCATTTACCACTGAATTCTACAGTATTGCATTTACCACTGAATTCTACAATAGTATTGCATTTACCACTGAATTCTACAATAGTATTGCATTTACCACTGAAGTCTACAGTATTATTGCATTTACCACTGAATTCTACAGTAGTATTGCATTTACCACTGAATTCTATAGTATTGCATTTACCACTGAATTCTACAGTATTGCATTTACCACTGAATTCTACAGTAGTATTGCATTTACCACTGAATTCTACAATAGTATTGTATTTACCACTGAATTCTACATTAGTATTGTATTTACCACTGAATTCTACAGTAGTATTGCATTTACCACTGAATTCTACAGTTTTATTGCATTTACCACTGAATTCTACAGTAGTATTACATTTACCACTGAATTCTACAGTGGTATTGCATTTACCACTGAATTCTACAGTAGTATTACATTTACCACTGAATTCTACAGTTTTATTGCATTTACCACTGAATTCTACAGTATTGCATTTACCACTGAATTCTACAGTAGTATTGCATTTACCACTGAATTCTACAGTTTTATTGCATTTACCACTGAATTCTACAATAGTATTGCATTTACCACTGAATTCTACAGTAGTATTGCATTTACCACTGAAATCCACAATAGTATTGCATTTACCACTGAATTCTACAGTTTTATTGCATTTACCACTGAATTCTACAGTAGTATTACATTTACCACTGAATTCTACAGTGGTATTGCATTTACCACTGAATTATACAGTAGTATTACATTTACCACTGAATTCTACAGTTTTATTGCATTTACCACTGAATTCTACAGTTTTATTGTATTTACCACTGAATTCTACAGTAGTATTGTATTTACAACTGAATTCTACAGTTTTATTGTATTTACCACTGAATTCTACAGTAGTATTACATTTACCACTGAATTCTACAGTTTTATTACATTTACCGCTGAATTCTACAGTTTTATTGTATTTACCACTGAATTCTACAGTAGTATTGTATTTACCACTGAATTCTACAGTTTTATTGTATTTACCACTGAATTCTACAGTTGTATTGCATTTACCACTGAAATCTACATTTGTATTGCATTTACCACTGAATTCTACAGTAGTATTGCATTTACCACTGAATTCTACAGTAGTATTGCATTTACCACTGAATTCTACAGTAGTATTGCATTTACCACTGAATTCTACAGTAGTATTGCATTTACCACTGAATTCTACAGTTTTATTGCATTTACCACTGAATTCTACAGTATTATTGCATTTACCACTTAATTCTACAATAGTATTGCATTTACCACTGAATTCTACAGTATTATTGCATTTACCACTGAATTCTACAGTTGCATTGCATTTACCACTGAATTCTACAGTAGTATTGCATTTACCACTGAATTCTACAGTAGTATTGCATTTACCACTGAATTCTACAGTAGTATTGCATTTACCACTGAATTCTACAGTAGTATTGCATTTGTAGTGGGTTCGAATTAGGTGCACACACGACTCCTTGGGAGGCAACGCTGATTTATTAGAACGGTAAGTAATATAACACTGCACATAAGGTGGTGACCACCGACCTACTCTAGCTAACACATACTTCTTCTTTGGTTCTTTCGGTAAAGTCACGTAGAATGAGAATAAAATAATAAATTGATAAAATAAAATAACAATAATATTCTCACGACGTTTCGGCCACAACACAAGCGGCCTTCATCAGGTGAAGGGACGAGACTGTCTGGTAGGACAGCGCTGGAGTGAAAGAGCCACGTTCAGATCACGACCTTTAAGCTGTGTGAGAGGAAACAAAGCGCCTTGACAAAGGAATTAGCATAGAATTTAGCATTGAAATGGCTGAATGATTAGCTTGTGACTGGTCACAGAAATAGCTATGTTAAAAGTTAAAGCATACACATCCGCAGAGGCACCCCTTGACAAAGGAATTAGCATAGAATTTAGCATTGAAATAGCTGAGTGATTAGCTTGTAACTGGTCACAGAAATAGCTACGTTAAAGTCAGAGCATACACATTCACCGAGGCACTTAGTACAAATCAAACAGGAGAATTTAGCATTGAAATAACTAGGCGAATTTAGCATTGAAATAACTGAGTGATTAGCTAGTGACTGGTCACAGAAATGACTATGTTGAAGTCAAGGCCTATACATCCGAGCTATTCACAGTACTATATAGTGAACCAATAAAAAACTAAAATATAAATTACCTTAATGTTATCAATAAACTCTATATTCTCCAATCAGCTAAGCTACCAACAATAAGTCGTTATATATCACAATGCTATATGGCGAAAAAATGGGTGGATTCTTACCCTCAACTTTAGCACCACGGATAGCTACGGGCCCCGTTCAGACGGACGAGTTCATCCATGGTCGGAACAGAGGAGGGGTGAGAGACAGCTGCGAGGCGCTATTATACTCCATTTTGTAAACCATACCATTAACCGTGGTGTGAGAAGTATTAAGAGTCAATGCTGGTGAAAGAGCTGCGGTCTGAAGGTCATCGTAAAAATACAATTAATTAAGAACAGAAATGATTTAAAACATCTTTCCAGTGGTTACTAAGCCAGAATCCATCTTCTCGGTTGAAATTGTCTCTGTGCTTGTATATGTGAATGGCCTCATGAACGAATCTCTCATGGTAGCCGGTTGGTTTGCAAAGAACCTCCGTCTTGGAGAAGTCAATGTCATGTGAGCCCACTGAATTATAACAGTGATCTGCCACGGCAGAGGAGTTCGTCCTACCGTGTTTCAAGTCTGCTTTATGTTCGCGGATGCGGTCCGAGATATGTCGTTCGGTTTCTCCAATGTAGCTACTACCACAGAGGCACTTTAGTTTGTAAACGCCCGGGTACTGTATGTCTGGAACAGCATCTTTTA